ATAATCCAAAGCTTGCTATGACAATAAAAAGAGTTTATTTTTAAACTGACAGGTCATGTTGTCTTAGTAAAGATTCATAAACCTGCACATAACAAAGGTTCAGGAAATCAGCTTTTTTCGTGTGCTTGAAAGAAAAATATGGGTCCATATGTCAGATTTTTAAATTGCTGAATATCTGTATCGGTACTGGTCTCAAAAATCCTATATTTGTTGGTTTCTAATAGTAATATTCAAGGGTTTTTTTAACTTCAAAAGTGGTTTTCCAAGAAAGACAATGTTTTCTTTTTCCCTATTTCCCAGAAATCTATACATTTTGCAGTCTTTTTTTCTTCTGACAATAGAAAGGCTTACATTTGGTATCAAGCACTTCTACTTTACAAAACGGTAATCTGTGGCATAAAAGTGATAATTAGAAGGAATCATAAACGCGATAGATGTGCAAAAGATAATTTCCAAAAATTTGATATCCCAAATGATGAAAACATTTAGTGGGTAGTCAGTCTTCTATATAGTAGCCTATAGTCGTCTTTTGATAGTCCTTTTTTTCTGGTGGGAAAAGAACAACATCCAAACAGCTTGAGTTTGTTAGTTTTATATTTCCTGATTTGAAATCTTCCTCTGGGTACCATTACATACTCACGTAATAAATATCAGCTGAGCAATCAATTTTTTTTATTCCCACAGACAAAAAGAAGTAATAATAAAGTGTTCTCTTCTGTTTCCTCACAGGATTTGATTCTATTTGTGGTGGTAGCGTTAAAGTGCACGCACCCATACGTGGAAATGTGCGCGCGCATGTGTGTGAAAGGAGGTTCTCCCACGCCTATTATTAAATAAAGTTATAAATACTGTGCCAATAAATAACAATAACTACAGTGACAACGTGGAACTAAATACCAGAGCAATGACTATCTTCCCTTTTCACTCAGTCCACTGTCCAGGGCACAGGCGAGACGTTCAGGGAACCACTGCTTTTTTCTGTTACTGTACTCTGAGGTATCATAATATATAAAAAGGAACTTTTGCTTTAGATTGTCACACTTGGCGGGACTGGATATAAAACTGGTTAGATCTTAAAGTAAAGTTTAGCAGGACTTCAAAATATGTACTAAAGTTATTGTACAAAATAACGTACAAAATAACGTCATAATTCTGTGATGGTCAGATGGGAACTTTTCTGATTTTATACACAGAATGATTCAGCTGGTGGCGCTAGTCTTCTTGCATGCCCTGCAGCAAGATAAGCTTGGTGGTGCTGCAGTTTCAGGTTAGATTGGCTCTCCAGCTCACAGAGGAGCTTGAGAAAGGCAAGAACTACTGACACCAAATGCTGTTTGTAACAGCAGTTAGTCCAACCAGTGGACCAAAGATTCCCTATAGAGAGACAGGTAAATAATGGCTGGCACTCTCACAACAGCAACCTGCAGAGCCTGCTAGTAAGGAAATATTGGCTGGAAAGTGCTGGGGTGTTAGCTTCACTGCAGAATGTTATGTTCCAGAAAAGGCTGGCTTATCAATCAGAAAGCGTAGTTACAGTTATGATTGCAGGAAGTCAAACGTTTCTATTTCAGTTTATAATCTGGTTGTCTGAAAAAAATGTTGATATTAGCTAAAACCTCTCTGGGAGATGTCAAATAGGTAGCCTGTGGTAGTGTTTTTGTTTTTTTTCTGTGGTGTTAGGAGACATTTCAGATGGTTTCTACCTGGTGGCATTTGACTGTGTTTTTAATTTTTTTAATTTGTTTTTAAAAAATGTAAGTACACTGTGTCTGTAGAACACAACTGGGCATTCCTCCAACGTGGTTGACTGGAATCATTTGTATATCCTTGCTCCTAGTCTTTGAGGAGCACCCACTCTTTTTGAAATACTAAAGCTAGTGTTGCTAGAGTGTTTGTGAGTGCATGCTGGGTTCCAATTGTGCGTTTAATACTATTCTTGCAACGTTTGATATTTTGAATGTATTTATATAATAATACATACAGCATAAATTGAGCACTACTACATAGTAGTATAGTATTCTGATCAAAAATTCAAAGTTGTTGGTTATTCAGAATAATCATTATACATATTTGGAACACAGCTACATGTTCACATTGTCACTGTGAGCAATGATGCTAGCACCACATCATACCTCTACAGCGTCACTGTTGTATAGGAATCTGAAGCCAGAGGTGCTGTGTGTGTCTTTATTCTTTAAGTTACTGTATATATGGAATGCCTTCATGGAGGTCACATAATAGTTACAGGTAGGTCCATGAGTATTTTTATAATAGCGGAATATTTGTGATTTTGCCTCTGAACACCAGCATTTTCAATCATACATTTAGGATCTGATTGTTGTAGTATTGCATTAACTGTTTAGGACTTAAAGCCATTTTCTTCTATTTTCAGAGGTTTGAAAGTAGTTGGCCAAGATAACATAATTTGGTTTTTGTACTTGGATGAAAATGTCCCTATTGCCAGTCTTGGCAGCCGGGGGTCAGTCCGCCAGGGCCTCCGCTCCTGGCCGCCACCCGGCACACAATGCACCCGACCCCTATGGCGCCTCCTGCGGGTGGTGGGCCTGCGGGAGGATGGGCCCATGTCTCCTCTTCGGGCTGTGCCCGGCCACCAGACGCTCGCCCTCGGGAACCCTCCCCGGCCCTGGCTCCAGGGCGGGGCCCCGGTAACCCTATCCCGGGCAGGGTAAACTGTTCCCTCGATGTTGTATTCATAAGGGTCTTCTGAATCGCTCTTTGTCTGGTCCCTCACCCAGGACCAATTTGCCATGGGAGACCCTACCAGGGGCCCCAGACAACATAGCCCCTGGGTTCGGGCATCTGACAAGGATGCCCCCTGGGCGCCTCCTGGGTTAGGTGTTCCAGGCATGTCCCACCGGGAGGAGGCCCCGTGGCAGACCCAGGACACGCTGGAGAGATTATATCTCTCGGCTGGCCCGGGAACGCCTTGGTGTTCCCCCGGATAAGCTGGAGGAGGTGGCTGGGGAGAGGGAGGTCTGGGCCTCTTTGCTTAGGCTGCTGCCCCCGCGACCCGGCCTCGGATAAAGCGGAGGAAGATGGATGGATGGATGGATGAAAATGCTGGAGATCTAGAATCTGTGAATGTCACCGTGCTGTGTTTCCTCCTTGCAGAAGCTCTGTCAGGCTTTTGCTGCAGTTGCCTTCAGATCCTTGAGAAGCTTTTTCTCATTTCTATCAGAAGTTACACCATCAGACATTGGTGGCCACTATCAGCCATGCATGCCTGTAGAATAACATGGTCTCGACCATGTTTGACAGATGATGTGACCTGCTTTGGATCAGCTGAGCTGTTCCTTTCCATCTCTATACTTTTCTCCTCCAATTATTCTGCTACAAATGAGTCTTTCTGTCATCTGTCCAAAAAATTTTTTTTTACTCCAGAACTAATTCGGCCTTCTTGTTCCTGAATGTAACTCGAGATTTGAACACTGTTGTAAAGTCGCTGTATTTTCATTCATGAAGCTTTGTGTTGTTTGTAGACTTTTACAATGATACACATGTTAATGAGATGGTTAGATGTTATCAAGGTGTAATTCTTAATCATGGAAATAATTCTGTCATCATCTGTGAGATACCCAGGGCATTCGTTCTTTTTAAGAATGTACAGATTGTTTATTAGGTTACTCTTTAGGTTTTTGCTATCTAAAATTGATTTTTCAGCATATTTCACTTGCATCAACATCTCTCTGGCCCTCAAACTGAAAGTTAAGTGAAAAGCTATCAAATGGCAGTTTAACAACTTAAAAAACATTGGACTAACAACAGAACAGGTCTCACCTGTACTGCTTTTAAATTCTCCATTTACTTTGGAACTGCTGAAAATGAAACTATGTATAAAAATGGCAGTCAATACAGTCAATATAATACTTTTGCCAAACCCTTTGAATTAAAGCAAAACGTCACTTAAATCAGTTCAGTCACAGTGCACTTCAATCACATGTGGACTGCTTATTTTAAAATCCACCGTGGTGAGGTAAAATTACAAAATTGTCATTGTTCAAAGAAAGACTTGTGCAACTAACTCTGAGTATGCCATACAAGTATAGGCTATCAACATGTAACAGCAAAAACCAAACTTATAATGCTTTTTAATTGTATATCTTTCTATTTGTATTAGGGTGATTTGAAAATCTTAAGAAGAAACATTGAAGTCATAGCATACATGTTGCTGTAGATTTGTTGCTGGGCTAGTTAAAGCTAAAGTATATTTAAGTACTGTGGGTCGCTTGGAAGAAGTTGGACATGTAAGCATAGTAGAATGAAACAGTTGACATAAGGTTTAAATGAGAATGGCTAGAAGCTTGTTGGAGGCAGTTACTAATCACTAGGCGGAGGAGGATAAAGGCTAGGTGGCTACCTATTAAATTCAGCAGACAATACTGACAAAAGTAAAACTGAGTCTGTCCTGATTGAAAGAAATCACAGCTAGTGGCAGAAGATGTTTAGCTGGTTGCAACCCTCTCCTAGGTTGTTTTTTTTTTTTTTTTCCCTCGGGTGTGCAAATGTTAGTGAAATGGAAATGCAAATTTGTGCACATGTGCACACACAGCTGTACTCATGGAATTGTTTGCTTTTAGAGGGGATGTCCCCTGAAGCTCAGTCTGGATTGAGGGTTACTCAGTAGCAAAAGTGTGACTTAAGTGCGGTCTGCTGCATCGGGAAATGTACCCTTGCAGAGTTGCGTGTGCCTCGACTCGAGCGCAAGCATGCAAACAGCACCATTACCTCAACCTCTCTCTGCCTCTCTCTCTCTCTCTCTCTCTCTCTCTCTCTCTTTCTCTCTCTCTCTCTCTCTCTCTCTCTCTCTCTCTGTGTGTGTCACTCTT